AATGCAAACCCGACGTCACTGGCCTAGATCGCAGCGAATCCGGGAAGAAACACATCGTGATATTCGGGATCGAAATCGTCTCAGGAACAAGTGGTACATATGGAATTACCTGCGAGATGACCGTGGATTGAGGGTCGCTAGTTGGTGATAATCCCAATGTGAGGGACAATGACTTCGTCGTATTAGCAAGTACATGGTTCAGTTGAAACTGGACTGGGGTCCAAGCCCAACCTTGTTGCTGCTGTCATGGCGTCACCTCTCCGATTGGGCCTTGAATTGGAAGATATGGATGCCACCGCTTGCATTTGAGAGCGCAACACGTCATTTCCTCGTTGGGTGTAGGTGATTCGCTGAGCCATTTCACGTCGGATTTCTTCCTTTGCGACCTCCACGTGTGCAGCGTGGGCTTCTTCATGCTTGGGCCGCTACGTTTGGGCTTTGTGTGCTCATCGGGCTTGATGGGCATGTGTAGAAGAAACAAGAGTCTGTGGGCCGGGGTGTCCCGGGCCATATACTCCATCAGGAGTCCCCCACTCCTTTTGCCGAGAGTTTCTCAAGGGAAATAGGAGTAGTGTCTTGAAGTTGCCGATGACTCTCTTTCTGCAATTGAAGAATAAGAATTTTCAAGTTTGATTATATTTGCTGAAGGGAGTAGATTGTCGTTGTGATCTTGCCTCAGCTTGCTGTAGCTGAGAAAAAGAAAATTTTTAACATTTGCGTGTTTTGCCGAGGGGAGTTCCCCAGTCCCCCACTCCTTTTACCGAGAGTTTCTCGAGGGAAACGGGAGTAGAGTGATGCATGCCTTCAGTAGGAGCCGCCGAGGGGTGGCGCCTTTTGTTCCACAATGGGGAGATGAAGTCCGAGGGCCTCTATGATAGCACCTCGCATCAAATAAAGATGCTGGAGGGATGAAGGCTGAGGGCCTCTATGATAGCCCCTGGCATCAAATAAAGACGCCGGAGGGATGAAGGCCGAGGGCCTGTATGATAGCCCCGACATCAAATAAAGATGCCGAAGGGGCGAAGGCCGAGGGGCCTGTATGATGGCCCCCGATATCAAATATTTGATGTCGGAGGGATGTAAGGCCGAGGGACGTTGTGATGCGGAATCATGCTGAGGCCGAGGGCCGTTGGTGATGTAGAATCACGTTTAGGTCGAGGGCCGTTTGTGATGTAGAGTCACGCTGAGGCCGAGGGCCGTTGTGACGTTGAGGCCGAGGCCCATTGTGATGTAGAATCACGTTGAGGTCGAGGGCCATTCGTGATGTAGAATCACGTTGAGGTCGAGGGCCATTCGTGATGTAGAGTCACGCTGAGGTCGAGGGTCATTTGTGACGTTGAGGCCGAGGGCCGTTGTGATGTGGAATCACGCTGAGGCTGAGGGCTGTTGGTGATGTAGAATCACGTTGAGGTCGAGGGCCGTTCGTGATGCAGACTCATGTTGAGGCCGAGGGCCGTTCCTTGATAGTTCCGGGAGGCCGCGTGTTAGTCCTTCGGGTGTATGTTCCTTCTTTCAGGCTACGGCCGAGGGGGTTGCTTCCCCACCTCGGTCGAAAGGGGGTCCAAGTGATCCGTCAGGGGGTTCGTCTGTTAGTCCCCCGGCGCTGGGCCGTCCCTTGATTGTGTCAGGAGGTCGTATGTTAGTCCTCCTGATGTGTGTTCCTTCTTTCAGGCTTCGGTCGAGGGGGTTGCTTCCTCGCCTCGGCCGGAAGGGGGTCCAAGTGATCCGTCCGGGGGTTCGTCTGTTAGTCCCCCAGCGCTGAACCGTCCCTTGTCCTTGGGGGGTCCCGTCGTCTATTTACGGCACGGGCTAGGCTTGGTCGGTTTCCGACGACTGCCGTTTCTCCCCCAAGTGTGGGGATTTCATCACCTCAACCATTCTTTCAGACTTGTCGTCGTGCGTTGCGCGCCGGTGACGTGATGAGCGTCCCGCTCCAATAACGTGGGCCTTTTGCAGGCCCCTCGTCTTTATACATCATCGGCCTTACCTGGGCATTTGGCCTCGAAGGGGCCGATAAGATGTTTGGGTTGTGTGGTAGTTTACTTAAATCCATAGAAATAAGCGGAAATGCGGAATACAAGGGGTGCATTGTTTTGACAACGGCTTTGTTAAGATAAGTGGCTCGAGGTCGAGGGCTCTAGGCCGTGGGGATTATAATGTGCCTCGAGGTCGAGGGCTCGAGGCTCAGGCCGAGGCCGAGGGCGAAGAACATGATTCAGCGGAGGTGGCGCTTCTTTGGCTGGGGCTCCTCGAATTCCTCGTCGTCGCTGAACCTCCCAATTTCACGTTTCTTTGTTGAGGTGTCTCCTTCTTTCTTATCGGTGTTCTCCCCGACGTTTTTCGTTGGGGCATTTTTTATGAACTGGTGGAGCTCACTCCATTGAATCAAGAGCTCAATGGCTTTCTTTAGCGAGACACAATCGTCAGTATCATGGGAGGTGCTTCTGTGGTAACGACGATAAATGCTTCTAGTGGACAGTGTAGATCTCTCTCGCCGACCGAGGGTCCTTCGGGAAAAGGTCCTGCTCTTCCGTATAGTTGAGGATAGTGCTCACTGGTTGCGTGAGGGGAGTCCTTGGCATGTCCAGCCGAGGGCGCAATTGGCGGTCGTTCCGGACCTGCTGGATGTGGCTTCCATGGTCTCGGCCCCCGACCGAGGACGCATTCGGGGCCGGCGTGTTGTTTGTCTTCTTCAAGGACTGGCCTCCATCCTTCTTGAAGGAGTGGAGGTCATCGACGTCGGCGTATAGGCTCCCCCGCTGGAGTGCTTTGAGGTATGATCTTGGGGGGTCAGTGATGAGGCTCCGTGCGTAGGGGCTGCTACGGAGAACCCCCTGGAAGAGGACGAGGAGGGTATGCTCATCGGCACCCTCGACCTCGTCTGTCTCCTTCATCCACCGGTCAATGAAGGACCGAAGTGTTTCGTCAGGCTGTTGCTTGACGGAGAGGAGGTGGGAGAAGTGCTTTTTTGCGCGCTTCCTTCCGGCGAAATGGGTGAGGAAGCATTGGGCAAGATGTTGCCATGAGCCTATGCTCCCCTCGGGCAACGCGTTGAACCATTCGTACGTCGGTCCCTCGAGAGTGGAGAGGAACCAACGACATAAATATTCGTCAGATGCATTGACCATCAGCATGTTGTTTTGATATCGACTGAAATGTTCCTGGGGGTCGGTGCGGCCTTCATACGGCTTCATAGTGCTTCCCCAGTATTTCTCGGGTATTGGGGCCGAGAGCACCCTGGTGGTGTAGGGGGTCTTGGTCCTGACCCTGATGATGGGGTCACCGCGCCCCTAAACGAATTCCCTCTCCAGAGCACTGAGTTTGTTCATGAGGGCGTCAAAGTCGGGATTCCCCGATGAGTTGGCCGTAGGAGTGGCAGCCAGTTGTCTTGCTTCCATCTCAGCGAGCCTTCTTTCAAGTTGGGCGATGATTTCATTCCGAGGGTCCTCGACGGTCGTGGCGGCGCTGGGGGCCTGGTTACGAGCTGCATTGATGTGGTGACATGCGTCCTCCTCGTGTAGCTTGCCTTTGCCTTTATCAAGACGGGGCCGATCCATTGTTCGGGATACGGACCCAAAGCTCTCCCTCGGTGAGACAGGCTCACGTTGACCCATCCGTCCCGCCAGCCTCTCCGATGTTGGCCGACGGTGCGCTTCCCCTAACCTTTTGAAGGCTGAAGGTCTACGCACTGGGTCCGGTCCAGCTTGGGGAGGGGAAGCAGGATCGGAGCGGGAGGTCGTGTCCTGAGCCCTGACCCCCTCATCATTGCGTACATTCATGACCAACGGATGAGGAGGGGCGGAGAGAGAGGGATGATGTTCCCCTCGGCATGGGCCGATGGCGGTACCAGAGTTCCGAAGGCTCCGGGATTCTGGGTGAGCGTGTGGATGAAGGTAGATAGGACCGATTGCATATCGGCGGTGAGGACCGGGGGGCTCACCCGAATCTCACCCCAATATTTCCTTTGGGCCTTGATGCCGAGGCAGGCATCGAGAACGTTCTCTTGGAGCTGAAAGGGCAGATCTGCAGTGGCCTGCACTATTTCGGCGAGGGCTCCACCTTCAGGAGCTTTGTTGGAGACCTCAGCAGTGTCAATCCCGAAGGCTTTGTTGGAGGCTTCGGCCTTGGATTGGGCACGAGTCGCTCTTCCCATTTTGATGAGTATTTTTGTTTTTCCGAAGTGGAGGGTTTCTTACTTGATTATTCGACTTCTCAACGAGAGCACCAAATGATGGATAGTGTACCCGTGGGGTAGCTTATCCGAGGGATTATTTCGGGGAATAACTAGAGAGAAGTCAGAGCAATAAGTAAGAGAGAAAGTAAGTATTCAATATATGAATTGTTGTGTTTTACAAGGTGAATAAGGGTTGCTATTTATAGCAGCTATAAATGCGATGAGGGTACACGTGTCAACAATCTAACAGCCGAGGGGTCACCTCAATCGAGGTGGCACCGACATATGCATGTGCAGCGCATTAAATGCGGTGGGTGGATGTGACGCCGAATTAAATGCGGTGGTTGGCTGTCTCTAAAAGGAATCTTCGTCGATAGTTCTGTTGTCGAAGGCATCATGTGGCCGAAGGCATTGTGGGCCGAAGGCATCATGTGGCCGAAGGCATCGGGGGGCCGAAGGCATCATGTGGCCGAAGGCATCATGTGGCCGAAGGCATCGGAGAGCCGAAGGCATCGGGTGGTCGAAGGCATCTTGTGGTTGAAGGCGTCGGGTGGCCGAAGGCTAACATTTTAGCCAGGATTGTCCAGAAGCTTTCCAGGACCATATTAAGATGTCTCCCATAATTTGGAGCCCTCGGTCATAGGGCCGAAGGCATCCACGTGTGCAGTGTGGGCTATTTCATGCTTGGGCCGCTACGTTTAGGCTTTGTGTGCTCATCGGGCTTGATGGGCATGTGTAGAAGAAGCAGGAGTCTATAGGCCGGAGTGTCCCGGATCATATACTCCATCATTGAGACAATAAAAAAAGGAAAGTTGACAAAGTCCAATGGGATAGAGGGAGTATTAAGTAATTTGTTCAAGACGTGAGTTCACTATCACTCTAGTCTAGTCCGCCCTTGTGATATCATATGATGAAAACAAAAAAACACACAATATGATTAGGGACTGTATTTTTGTAAATACATATATTCCGTATGTAACAACAAAATGTATATAATAATGATCATCTCTCTTTTACCGAGTCCGAAATTAGAGCATCCATCCAGGAAGAACTCCAGATGTATTCAGTACTGTTGACGGGCCGGCTTGATTATCCGCTTCCACCACTGCCGAGTTGTACCTTTTAATTTGCACATATACGGAGTAGATCGTTTGTTAGATGTACTCATATACCATGCAAAAGTAAAACAATAAAATTGTAAAAGTTGTGGAGAGAAAAGTAAATAAAATGATATTGATTTAACACAATTTGTTCTTCTATGACATACTAATTTTAACTACCTAGAGATATTAGTTTAGATTGTTTGAAGTTTGTGAAATGTGACACAGAGTGCCACATTGAATACATCAGTCCATTATGTTAGTTTCAATTATTTACGCTTAGTTTGAATCGGTTTGGCCATGTTATCGTCGGTTTTATGCGGACGCATCAAACCGTGAACCGAACACAGCCTAAAGTTTGATGAGTTCTGATCAACTCACTTTGTCTTGGTAAAGCTTTCGACGATTCAATTTGGGACGACTTTTGATCAATTTCAACTTTATGTTGATCATTTTTTGTCCAACCCTAGCTAATTTCAATTATTTTATATTTTCTTTTTGCAGAAAACTGTACAAGTTAATTGGACAGAGAAACATACCCAATTTGTGATGTGTTGTGGAGTTGGAGAGGCTGAAAGAACCCATCCGGCTGAGAAGGATCGTCGGGGTTTGTGTATTGCGTGTTTTCCATTTCGGTTTCCCATGGTGTTACAAACGCACCATTGGTTTCTCCAAGCTGCAACAACATATTAATCCAACCCGAGTTTAAAATTGGACATCGTATTGAATATCAAATTTGATTTCCATGTAGAATAGTTTAGAGAAATCACATAACCGTTACTCTATTCGTCCCGCTAACTTTGTCCCGTTTTACCTTTATTTTATCCGTCTCATTAAGTTTGTCTCATACCATATTTGGTAATATTTAGATGATTACAATTCACTCTTACTTTATTTAGACTCTATCAATTCAATATCAACCACACAATTGAACTTTTTCTTAAAATTGTGCCACACTCGCTTGTCTCAAACATAGTGGAACGGAGGTAGTGTTTAAGTGAAAATGAAAAAACTTTTTGAGATGACTAAATAAGCTAATCTCCCAAAACGAAAGTTGCATCTTCGAGTCTCACTTCAATCAATCAAGAATGTTAACATTATCTTGAACGGACACTATAATACGTTTAGAAGGATATTTAAAAAAATAAGCAAATTTGTCAATCCACCCCAAAGGTTTAATCATCCAACTCATGCGCCCTCACACTTCGACCGAACAAAATGGTGGATAAGCTACGAAGCCTGAAAACTCTCGGGAAAGAGTGTTTCGGATGCTTACGAAAACTCTTTGAAAACTCTTCGACATGTGTTTTTTGAGTAAAAGTTAACGTTTTCCATTTTTCATTTCCTCGTGATTTTCACGTTTCCGTGCAACATAGTGAATAAGTAAATCATAATATGATCTTAAATCAATTTTTTACTAAGATGATTCAAAGTCTGGTTCGCACAAAATGTCACGACACTAAATAAAACGCTCAAACTATTGCCGATTAAAATTGAACCTGAAATCTCAAACCAACCGGATCACTCACCTAGGTACGTTAAACTATAATGCGGGTAGAAACTCAGTCAAAATTATAAAGGGGAATTGGGTAGAATTAACAGTGCACATAGTATCCCCATCATATCAGCGTGCAGTGTGCTTTTTATACTTCAATTCGTGCGTACCTTTATCCTTAAGGCTTTATTGACTTCGAGAAGACTTTGTTCCTGTCAAACCGCACGCCCAGAGAAACATTTAGGTTCATTACAACCTAACCCACTGTTTTCACAGTGATTTTTCTGTGTACGAAGTAAAAGATTTTTAATAATTTCTTAGTGGGTTAATTTCCTAAATAGGAGTAAAAAAGTTTTGAAATTTCAATATAGGATTATCGTGGTTTTTATTCCTTGAATAAGGGTAAATTTTTGGCAAGTTTAGCATTACTAGACTTTAAAACATGACATTTTTTCTAAACTTGGCAAATTACTCATATTCAGGGAATAAAAACATTTTTGCTCATATTTAGAGCAATATCTATTTTGTATGGTTAATAATCTCTTCGATAAAAATGCAAGTTGTGTCGGTACATTCCACCATAACATAAAAAAAGATGACATTCCATCATAACATGAATATAAAGAGTGGAACGAGTATATTAGAAGAAAGAAAAATAGTTAAATGATGGAAAAACTGTCAATTTGATATTCATATCATATTAAATTAGATTATTGAGGTGAATAGAACATGTATGCTTTTAAAATGCAAATTCTTAATGTCAACTACCAAGTAAATTTTTTAGTTCAAAAAATTGAGGTAATTTAGTTTGCAATATATATTTTGAGTAAATTTAAACTTTACAACACCTTTTAGAAAGGTTAATGTATTCGGTTCACCAATTCAAAATTTTTGTGAAGTAATAAGGTACAAATTGAACACCATTTTGCACACATATATAGAGCAAAGTTATATTTCTCTCAAAATTGTGTTTAGAATAAATTCAATCAAACCTGACAATATTGAGAATGTGACATCATTTTAAAGAGGGAACATCTTGTAATTAAGTTATGTCAGATTCTTACCCTTTGCCGAAGGTTAGACAATTCATCGAACATGTGTTTTGTCTGCAACCAAAACAATTAGTCACAGACGATATATTAGAAGGTATAATTCAAATATTCAATAAACTTTGGGTACTTTAACATAATTAATAACTACTTAAGAACCAAGATGAGCTAATTACTTCTAGCCCGAACTGCAACAGAAGTAGTCGATCAAGAGTAAAGAATGATTTCATACTACTAAAATAAAGATAACGGAGCAATGAACAAAATACGATTATTTATTTATAGTGATTACAACAACAACATTATCCCAGTGTCACACAAGTTCTCACTTACCGTGAAATATTTATTTATAGTGATTATTTTAGTAAGTTTTTAATGACCACGACTATGTTCAATTCTATACCGCAATAACTATGTAACATGTTCATCGTAAACTTAGCTACATTTTTATTCATCTCTTTTATTTGGGTAATATTCGAGACTTTAGAGAAACCTGGTTGCAATATTTGTTAGGTCTTACTTTATCTGTCTTAATTACTATTTATGGATTAAATTTCTCAGTAGTAATTAAGATATCTCCTTTCATGTAAGTATTTTATGATTCATAGTTAATAAGGGACTTTTTGCCGTTCCTTTTAAGTTAAAAAGTGATTTTCTAAATTGATTTTAGGGAACACGCTTCATACTAAAAGTTGATAGTGTTTGAAAAAAATGATTTTGAAAAAGTAAAAGTCATAAGTATTTACTAAAAATGCACTCCCGTGCAACGCACGGGTGAAAATACTAGTATATACGGAAAAGCAGTTCAAAGTATGCTCCACAGCTCCACAGCAGGCCTGGAGAGAAGCGCAACAGGGGCCATTGAAGCTGAGGAGTAGCGTGAGAAGCGAAGATCTGAGATCGAAGCGATCAAAAGCGGGAGGAATAAAGGTGAATGTGGATGCAGTGATATATGTCTCCGGAGGACTTAGAGCATGGGGATGGATTGCAAGGAATGATCAGGGAGAATTTGTTAAAGAATGTGGTGCTTCGTGCAAAGCGGAATGGTCTTCGGCTGAGACTGAAGCGGTGGGAATACGCGAGGCCATTATAGAAACCATTAATGAAGGATGGGAAAAAGTTGATATTGAGTCAGATGCACAGGTGATTGTTCGAAGTGTTCAGAAAGGTGAAGGTATTGGCTACGATATTTGTTTTTTACTTCAAACAAAGAGTAATTTTGAGATCTCTTTTTGTAAACGATATGTGAATCGTGCAACTCATGCTTTAGCAAGAACGCATGTTGCAATCTTAGATCATAGTAGTAATAATTTTATACCGGAATGCATTGTAAGCGGGGTGGCGAATGATTTATTAGCTTAATAAAGTTGATTGGTTCGGTTAAAAAAAATTCTTTTAAAGTAGAAAGATGAAACACTTTTTTATAGCCCGTTTGGTGACCCCTTTTTCTGCTTATCAGGCTTATCAGTCAACTTTTTCACCAAACACGTAACTTTTGATTTCGCACGCTGATGTTTGTAATAAGCAGAAAAAGTAAGGTTGGAGTTACTTTTCCGGCTGTATTGACTGAACTTACTTTAGAGGATCATTTTAGCTATTTTTTCATATAACTTTTTATTTAATTTATTAATAACAAATATTTTAAATATAATTTTTTCATAAATCAGCAGAATCAGCCAATACAACCACTTCAGCCAGAACTTCATAAATTTCAAGAGAATCAGCTAATTCAGCCAATTTTAATGTTACCAAACGAGCTCTTAATATTTTCAAACACTCCTTAAGCCATATTACTAACAATACTACTCATGAACAAGACTTTGGGCTACTTTTATTATAAGTAGTAATGTTTATTCATGGCTACTTTTACTACAATGTTTATTTTAGGATGAAAATTCAAAGTGTGCATTGTACACTTGTGTACGTACACCCTCTATTTTATCTGAGCACGCTATGGTTTGTTTAAAAAAGGCAAACATTGTTTGTGTACACAAGAAAATGTACAAAAAAAAGTGTATACCAACCCACTTTGAAGTTAAAATTCCAATGGTATGCAAAGCACATACCCGGGTTGACCTTATTCTTTTTAACGAAGTGTCCAACTGGTTTTCAAGTTGCTCCAAATCCCCAATGCTAAGTTGTGCCAAGTCTTCTCCCAGCAAGTGCCTAAAGAAAGCAAAGCACTATAAATCCTCCATCCTAGGAATTATGTTTAGTAAGAAAATTAGAAAATGTTCTACAGCCCTAATATGAAGTTCTCTTCCTATCTGCCACAACTAAACTTTAGCTCTTAGCTTTGTGAAGAGATTAATTAGGGTGTCCTGCCAATTCTGGAAATATAATCTTACTACATTTGATAAAAAAAAAATGAAGTGCCACATTAGTTAGGTCCCGGGTTCGAATCCCGGCAATTGCGATGAGAGGTTACTAATGCTAAAAATACATAGGATTTCTGCAAGTACCGGAGACAGAATCCCACTCTCTATCTGTCAGATTGGGATTATAGTCCAATTTACATCCTCCCAACGTACCGTCCGGTCGGGATTGGGGGCCCTCAGAGATGGTGTATCATCCTTTTTCTTACTCCCTCCGTCCCGGAATTATCTTCCTTCTTTCTTTTTCGGTCCGTCCCAAATTTATCTCTTTTTTCCCTTTTTGGTAAAGAATATGTGGTTCACAAACATTCTTACACGTTTCTCTCTCTTGTGCATAACTCTCCACCACACAAATCCCACTATCTTAAAACCTGTGCCCGGTCAAAACCAGAGTTAAATATGGGACGGAGGGAGTTTTGATGATTTTATGATTTTATCCATACTGGAAGGACTGTTCTTTCCCAAGAAAACCATATCATAATTGTACCCACACGAACAAATCCCTACGGCTAACCTTTGAGATTCTTGCAGGACTTCAGCACCAGCTTTTAGCTTCAAATACTCTTGGAAATTGCTCTGAACAGTAAATAACACCAAATAAAAATTAAATACGCGTAAGTTTCTTCTCGTTACTGGAATCCATCATCAACACTATACGGAGTAGTATAAACTAAAGAAAACCCACTAAAGCTAGAGATTTGCTTGTACTAGAAGAATCTCCAACAAACACTTAGCATCATTTTTAGACCAAAACAGTGTAAACATCACATCGAACCATATACTTACTCCAACTATTCACACCATCTTGATAATACGAGTATGAATATTCTTCTTATATACCCTATTTTCGAATGAAGAAATAGGCCTCAAGAATCAAGATTCGTCAAGCGAATTTCTAGATTTAAAAACATTTGTATATTTTAAAACCGTTGTTAGTATCGAACTTTAAACATGACATTATTTTTCAAATTTGGCAATAACACTCATATTTAAGCAATAAAAACATGACAGACTTATTTGGAATTCTCGAACATTTTTACTCGTATTTCGTGAATTTTGTAGTTAAGATACCAGTAGACCTTGGCAGATGATAAGAAAGAAAGAAAATTTTGTTGGATTAACCATGATTTCTTCTTATATACCTTAATTTGCAATGAAGAAACACACTTCAAAGAGATTCAATTTCCCAAGCGCAAGGGTAAATTTAGAAAATTGTGTTGGATTGAGTTGAAGAGGGACTCCAACAAGATAGAACCATCATTAGTAGAATGAAAGTGTTTTAAATTGGACTAGCTCATTTCAATTCCACAACAGACTTAAACCGTCAAGACAATATTAGATTTTGACAGTTATAAAACTACATACATTATAGACTTCTAGAAGACCATACTAGTTTCAGTCAACCCAGATTAGACATAAACTAATTAGAGTGTACCATATTAGACAATGTCAAATTGAGTTAGAAAATTTTAGTACAAATCTAAACATCATAATCCTAAACATGGAAAAGGAGGAAGTGTTTGTATTTATTATGGAGTATTCACGAACAAATTAGAGTCTATTGACTTTAGCCCATCATAACCCTAATGCATATCAGCCTTTACCCATCCGTAATGGCTATTTAGTTAAAATAATGGAGTTTGCAGAATTTCCAGAAAAAATATCGTTTTTCAAGATTGATGAATCAAAACAAATTAAATAAGTATATCAAGGTCTCAAATTCTTCTTATTCGAATTGTGGTATTGGCAGAATAAGTCGATTAATGCTGCGAAATACGGTCAATGTGAGATGAAAATACCCAAAAGATTAAGTCAATCATAACTTTAACACAATTTAGACAATACAATTGAGCACCCGTGTTAGAGGCTGTTTTTGGCCGAACGACCAAATTTTGAACCAATATGACTCCTGCTGGACATATTCTTAGACAATGAACTAAGCTAAAATGGCAATATTTTGAAAAAAACAGCGTGGGAGTTAGTGAAGAACAATTGCGGGTTCTTCGAGTATCGGCGCTTTACCAAAAACGCCGTTTTTTATACTTAAAACGCTGCATTTTGCAGCGTGTTTGGGACAGAAACGCTGGAAACCAAACCATCCCTTGGTTGATATATGTGGGCATTGTTGCTTGTCTTAATCTTGATAAATTGTGGAAGTAACTAATCATGAGTAATGTAGAATAAGGGGGTTTTTGGAACTGATTCTGCTTGTGCTTCTTTTTTTAAAGCAGAAGCAGAATCAGTTTTCATAAGCTGGTACCCCCAGCTTCTAAAAAATTGATTCTAGGAGTAACTTAAAGCACCAGAATCACTTCTTCATTTTCACCCAAACACTCCAACTTCTGCTTCTGCTCCCTGAAGCCAAACACCTCCTAAGCCAGCTCTAAATTATTTGGAGGCCATCATATGTTTGACACACTGATTAGTTCATACCTCAGTGTGATTTTCCATCACCCAATTAATGCATGTCATATACATGGAATTACTTTTAAGTAGTGATTAACTACCTGTGACTCCTTGGATGTTTGGTTAGCTTCAAGTGCACCATAGCTGCATCTATGGTACCTCTCAAGAGTCTTAGGCATACTGCAATCAATTTCCACCATAACAACAATCATACATTTACTTATGTACCAAAAACATACAAAATGCATAAATGATCAGAAAATGCTGTTAATTAGGAGACTGCATAAAGAAATTGGTTTGATTTTGTTGAAAGTTTTCATTAATAATAACCGAAATCACAATTGTGTCATGGCATTAGTAAGAACATCCTGAGGTGAGGCATCCAAATTTAAGGATTTTATATAATTTGATTTAATGACTATATATCAAACCTCAGACTTGTTTGTAGCCTAGCTAAAATCAAGTCTCTTCTTTTTAAGTATGATGTCCCAAAAGCTGTCAACATAACATAATCCATGAGAAGAAGAACAGAATGCGTGACCAATCAAGTCTACTGAAGTTTAAATTGAGATGGAATAAAGATTCAATCTTTTCCCATAAAAAACAATTTTGATTTTTAAATATTAACCCTTACTCATCTTTACCGTTCATAAAATTAAATCTAGAAATAAAATTCACTAATCATGCTATTCAAGAGGAGAATAAATAATGTACATTTAGTATGATCAGTTCATTCGTGCATGAAAGTATGTATTATTGATTGAGTCGGATCTCACCTTCTAGAATGTGGATTTGTGCTCTTTGACTGGCCAATTAAATTAAACTAATCGAGCTTTGTTATTTTCAAAGTTTATCTTCAATTATTCCTTCAAAACTTTTAGATCACTTAATTTGTACTTTATTTTATTCTCAGCTTATTCACAACTAACAAAAAAGTAAAAAAGGGGACAAACCAAATCACTATCCTTCAAGATCTATGAACCAAATTTCAGCATAAAATAATAATTTATTAAAATTAGTACATATGTTCTCAAGTACTACGTATATATTTGAAAACAAAACACAATCCCAAAATTCTTTTCTTTTTCCTAACAAAGAAAAACTGAAAGATCAAGATCTGATGTGATAATTAAGTACAAAATTAACTAATTAATGGGGTGGGTACCAAAAATAAACATACCTTGAGCTACTGCAAAATTCATAGAGCTTTCCCCTATTGGAGAAGATGATAAGTGCAACTTCAGCATCACAAAGGATAGACAGCTCATAGGCCTTCTTTAGCAATCCATTCCTTCTCTTTGCAAAAGTCACCTGCCTGTTTATCTTGTTCTCAATCCTCTTCAGTTCCACTTTCCCTCTTCCCATTTTTCACCTAGCTATATGATCTATATATAGATACTTTATATATAAAATACTATTGTATATATGTACCTAGATATGTATGTTTATAAAAGAGGAAAGAACATACATGTTTAGATATCTTCAAGAAATGAAGACAACAGTATTACTGGATTAATACTGGTTACCCATTCAAGAAACACTTACCAAGATTGGATCTTTTTGCCATAAAAGCCTATCTATTGTAGTTTCTATATATTGAATCTTTGAGTATTATATTTGCCCCCTCTCTCTAGATGATCTTTTTCTTCTTCAAGGACAACAGTTCTTACTTCTTAGGCTCTAAGGATCCAGGTATGTGTATGTATGTTTATATATATAGATATATATATATATACGTATATATGTATGTCTGATGTATATATATACGAAGTACTAGGTATGTTTTTAATTATTTCGGGTAAAAAGATTTGTGTGGAATGGTAATATGGTAAATATAGGAGCATCAAGATTCAACAGGTTGTAAAAATGGGATTCTTGCGAGGCTAGTTTTTGTACTTATGTGAACATGTGGTAGTTTGTATAGATCTGTTTTCTTTGTCTTAAAACAGAGCCAGGTGCCCGATTATCTTTCGTCAAGACTTTTCAAAAGGATATCATGATAAAACGAAAAACAAGCCAGGAAAATAAAGGATACTCGATTTTTTGTACTTGATATAGTTTGCCCTAATATTTGACTTAAAGTTTTCACTTGTCTCTTTTAATATTCCAATAATCCACTTACAAGTTGTCGTTTTTATGTTAGAAAATAGTTAACCCTGTTAAATGATAACTTAATCATCGCACATTAAAAAAAATTCACCTATAATATTACAATTACGACCAACTACACATTTTATAAAAAAATATTACTCCCTCCGTCCCTAATCTTTCTCCCTTTTCGATTGGGCACATTTATTAAGATAGTGGGATTTATGTGGTGGAGAGTTGTGCAGAGGAGAGAGAAATGTGTAAGAATGTGTAAGAATGATTGTGAACCACAAATTTTTTGCTAAAAGGGGGAAGAGGAGATACTTTTGGGACGAACGAAAAAGGAAAGTTTGAATATAATTTAGGGACGGAGGGAGTACTAAGATAAAACTTGTTTACACAAATATGATTATTACATGTCTATCCTTTGTGATGATGAAGTTGCTCTTATCCTCTTCTCCATTAGGGTAAAGCTCTATGAATTTACAATTATGAAATGTAGTTGACTCGGAGCGAGCATGTACATTTTGTTTACACTTTCAAATTTTTACACATTTCATCACTAAAATGAAATGTGTAACTATTATTTTGAGTCGGAGTGAGTATGTACAAAAATAATTTTTTTCAAATAAATAATCGCATTCCCATGCAACAAGCGGACGAAAAATATTGGATTTTGACTAAAAAAATATGGTGAGGTTTTGGTAAATAAACCAAAATTTCTCGCAGTCACAAAATAAGCATTACCATGACCGTGAAGGAGCGAAGGTAGGGTTGGTAAAAGTTAATGTGAATTATGGACCGGTAAAAGTGTAACTCTATGCGTTTTGCTCAAGATGGGCTCTTTTTATTTGATGCTTACCGTAAATATATATAAAAAAAAAATAGGACGACCTCCCATCCCTGAGGACCCCCTAACGTCAATCAAATGATACGTTGAGAGGATGTAAATTGGACTATAATTCTAATCTGACAGATAGAGAGTGGTGCTCTATCTCCGGTACTTGCAGAGGCCCTATGCATTTTTAGCATAGCAACCCCTCATCGCAGTTGACGAGATTCGAATCCGGGACCTAACCCTTGTGGCACTCCCTTGCTACCAGTTGAGCTACGCACACCCGTGCTTACCGTAAATATACATGTCACATGAGTGTGTATTAGAGATTGATAAAGAGGGCATAATGAGTGATAGGGTTAATTATCAAAATAGGACTAAAAGTCATCCACTTTGCACCAATAGGACCAAAAACTAAACTATGTTTTCATAGGACTAATTATGTGTGTTTTGGACAAATATACCCTTCTAGCTATTGAAATGTTTTAATTCATAATAAAATAAAAAATAATAATAAAAATTCATAAAAAAATACTAAAAAACTAATAAAAATATTTCGATAATATGAAATGATTGTGTGTGGGGATGAAGTCGATCAGATACTTTTGGTGGGGCGCATAGAGTGTACGTATATGCACATCTAGGCGATACTAGCTAGAAAAAGGTATTCTGGTCCCCCGATTTGTCACCATATTGAAATCTCAGATCTCTATTTTCGCTTTTTTAAATGTCATCTTCGATTTGTCACAAATGTTTTAAATGCCGCCCTCACTGTTAAAAATCTTACAAACTCCATTCGACTTTCCATTTTTTCAGGGGTAAACATGTAATTTCACATCCTTATACATTTAAAGACCTAAATCGAGTTATCGTCAACCCTTTATCACGCTTGTCCGTCCAAATTTAAATATTTTGCTTAATCCTTTGCTCTAAACTCTTTTCCGCCAACTTTCCGTTGGACATGGCGTTCGAATATTGAAGCTATATTGAAGCCAAGATTTCCGTTTGAAGGTCGAAGTTGTGACGGAGGAAAGATGACCAGTCAACCCTATACACCTGGTTCATTTGTTTCAATAAACAAATGAAGAACGACGAAGGGAAAAACAAAATATATGTAAGCACCTGAAGACGAAGAACCCTAAATGGCGACACCTCGATCTTCAAAACTCCAAACGGCTGAAGAACGGACGAAGGGAAGAGAGCTTTCCAAGCAAATGGCGTGTACCTCACTTGAATTATACATAGAAAGTTTGGTTTATACTCGATTTAGGAATTTTAAGTTATACGGATGACGAGCACTTGTCACGGTGCGTCAAAATAATTCGATACTAACACTTATACGTAGTGTAGGTGAAGTAGAGTTCGTATCCACAGGGAAAGGAACAATTCTCTTTTTATGAAACTTTAGTGAATAAAGGGGGTTTTTAGTGATGAATGATTTAATTAAATTAAAAACTAAGATGAACTACTTATATGAGATTTAATTCAAGAATAAAAGGGACTTAGTTTTGCTACTTTCCACTTGTTGATATATTTTAGTCGATCCTTGTTATATCTATAACTTATCCCCTCTCGAATATTCAATCGAGGAGTATCTCCAATTCATCGAGGGTAGTTATTAACAACGACCGTTCATTAATAACTCTTACTATTAATCAAATATAGAACAACGCCGTATACCGATATAATAGTAGCATTCAATCTTTTTAACTCCTTGATGAAATCAATTGAGATTGATAACCTTAACACAACGGTTTCGGTTTAACCAACAAAATTGATCCCTCTTTAGTCTATTAACCACGACCGTGCATTAATAAACCGAAGTTACTTACTTGTGAAACCACCAACGATTAACCATCGGTTCGTTGATCGTTTCAAGTAGTAATTAACGTCGAAACGTTAACTAATCGTCACTTAGCAACCCTCCAACATTAATATAGAATGAGATTAAGGGAAGAATTAATAATCAAGAGAAGAAGTTAAGAAAATAACTCACAACTTTAATAATCAACAAGCTTCAAGAGCAAAACCAAGAAATGGAAGTTTAGCTCCTCATTTGGAGACTAAACATGCTATAAAAATATAAGAAATACTATTCTAAACTGAGCTTAGGAGTATAGAAGAAGGGATGATTAAAAGTGAAGGAAAATGGAGCTATTTATAGGTGTTTTACAACACCTTTGGCCGGGTACCCGACCGGGTAAAAGACCCACCCGACCGGGTGCATGTCAAGATCAGATAATCTTGCACGTTCTTGTGTTGTTGCACGTTAAATTGTCCCGGGTCAAATACGACCTGACCTGGTGGTAGAGGGGACCCGACCGGGTCTGTGCAATTTCCAGTCACCTTCGTTAGTTAAATCTTACCCGACCGGGTCAAGTGTTTATGCCCGGTCGGGTTTCAGCTCCTGAACAGTCCAATCTCGTTTTGCTTCACTTCAAAGTCCTCCTTTTTAACACCATAATTCCTAATTCTACTTTACAACTCACAAATGGGGATTAAAATACAATTACAATTAAAATCAAACAAATGTTCTCAAATTATTAAAACGGTAAATAATCCACACAAATCAAACATAAAAACAAACATTTATGCACTACTAATTAGTGCATATCAACGGACACGAAGTTACATGTTTGCCCCTGAAAAAATGGAAATCTAGTCAGAGTTTGTAATTTTTTTAACGGAAGGGGAGACATTTAAAACAATTATGACAAATCGACGATAACATTTAAAAAAGTAGAAACACGAGTCTGAGATTTCAATACGGTGGCTAACTAGGGGACCAAAACTGCAATTTTCCCTTTTTTATCCGGAAATATGATAGAATAAAACAAAATGACTTACTAAATTTGAATTTGTGTTATTTTGTTATGAAATAACAGTCAGGTCATTCAATTTTCGACCCAATTATCATCACAGGTTATACGGAAACAATTTCTTTGTCCTTTGGTACAAGGGTAAGGCTATGTACATCTGACCCACCATTACCCCACATAAAGGTGTAAGAGTGCGTGAATCTAATCCCCCTTAGTAGTAGTAGTAGTAGTAGGAGTAGGAGTAGTAGTAGTAGTAGCAGTAGGAGTAGCAGTAGCAGTAGCAGTAGCAGTAGCAGTAGCAGCAGCAGTAGCAGGAGCAGCAGCAGGAGCAGCAGGAGCAGCAGTAGCAGTAGCAGCAGCAGTAGCAGCAGCAGCAGTAGCAGTAGCAGTAGCAGTAGCAGTAGTAGTAGCAGTAGCAGTAGCAGTAGTAGTAGCAGTAGCAGTAGTAGTAGCAGTAGCAGTAGTAGTAGTAGCAGTAGTAGTAGTAGCAGTAGGAGTAGCAGTAGCAGTAGCAGTAGCAGTAGTAGTAGTAGTAGTAGTAGTAGTAGCAGTAGCAGTAGCAGTAGCAGTAGTAGTAGTATTAGTAGTAGTAGTAGTAGTAGTAGTAGTAGTAGTAAAATATGGTCTGATCTGGTCTGGTCTGGTCTGTTCTGATCTGTTTTAGTCTGGTCTGGTCTGGTTTGTTTTGGTCTGGTCTGTTCTGGTCTGTTCTGGTCTGGGACGAATTACAGTCCAAGTAAAAACAACCTAAATATATACTCCAATTACCTTTTCCATTATTGTCTAAATAATTGTAATACTTTTTAATGAGATAATTACCCTATGTATGAACTAAAACTCAATAAGGTTTCCAATCTATGACCTAACTAGTTTTATTCCGAAAATAATATAAAAATCATACGGAGTAATATTTAATTTATTTAAAATTCGTAACAAATAAAAA